GTGGTACTCGCGAAGGTTCCTCGCTGCAGCCTTGTACAGCAGAGGACTCGGCACTCCCGTATGTTTGCAGCTGGGCTTTTTCGTCACGCACGCTGTCATGCTGATGTCGTTGTTGTTGCTGTTGTGGTTGTTGTCCGTGGCCTTGCTGTGCATGGTGATGGTGTTGTTGTTATTGTTGTTCTTGATGCTGTCCATAGTTTGTGTGAGGAGGTAGGGGTGCGATAGGGCGAGGGTGAGTGCCGGATGGGGCGTAACCTCTTCTAGAAGATGAGAAGATCGCCGTTCCGTGGGTTTGTTTGGAGTCTGGGAACCGTTCTTGGAACGAATGTAGAACTTTTTTTCTCCGCCCGCGGCTGTTCGTACTCTTCTTTTTCACCATGCCCGACGCCATGCGCAACCCAACGAATCCATTTTAATCGTTGCTGATTTGTCCACCAGCAGTGTTGCCCATAGGACGAAAACACATACAGCAGCGAGCAGACAGTGCGGGTGGTCTTCGTGAGATGAAGTGTATTGCGTGAAGAAATGCAAATTGAATCTACTGTATGCCTGGTGTATGTACTTCAAGTGTAGAACACGCCGGACACACCCGGCGGGGCGTCCCCTACGCTCTAGAATTTCCTCGCCCCCCATGCATTCGACACAGCAGTCCGCATACGTACAGGGTCGATTATACGGAGGGGCTGACCCGGCACCCTCAAGTCTAAACCTTATCGCCATGATTATCTAACGCAACCTCCTTGACAGAAGAACCAAAAACACGCCAGGCCACCGCTCCGTCTCCGATCGAACCGCCACTCGCAACGCGAGACAGAGTGGTCTACAGTTGATTGCATACTTTCGTTTTGAGAGTTTCAGCGGAGGGACGTGCCACACTGATGCCTGGTTTCTCGAGCAAAAAGAGAGGGCCCGCACTATGTTGTGCTGCACGGGAACAATCCGCAGCAAAAATGTGGGGCACGAGGTCCGGTGTGTCCTCACTCTCCGTAAGGAATGGAATGTACCATGTTCTGTCTTTCGTGCCGTGATATGTTTTCCCAGGGTTTTCCGGTCGTTGTAACTCTTGCTGCTTGGGTCTCACTCATCGTTTGTTGTACAAGCGTAACCTTTGTTCGTTGTAGCTTGTGTGATTCACATAGTCTAAATATATCTCGACCGTTTTCTTCGCTGCAAGAGGTTGTATGAAGGTACTGGGTAGGGAGAGATTGGAACGGTTTTAAATGTTAAGGCAACAACAACAACAATCTTTGGGAATGGGAAAGCCGCGTTTACAACATGACCCAACAACACGTATGATCTCTGTTGGCACATGCAGCCTTGCGAGGCATTGCTTTTAAATCTGGTCCCTTGTTCATCGACTCCTACTTCTCCCATGAACAATACGCGCACAACACAAAACCAAGAAAGCGCCACAGCAGTTCGAGAAAACGTGTTTAGGATGCCTGCCTACACGGGAGTGCATCCACTACACACGCAGGAAGTTCTCCGCATCAGCATGCCCTGTCACAGGATGGGTCTCGCGATTGGTTCAGGGGTCCCTTTGCCCTTGCGCTTTGCACGGAGAGTCAAGATCAGATACGTATCTGCGGGGCAACGGCACACCTCTAACGGAGCAGCACCTCGCAGCAGCAGCAGCAATGTAGCGGGACAAGCGACACATGAGCTTGACCCGCACCCCACTCCTGCCTTTTCTGTGCCTTTCACCTCTATGTTCATCCCGCGGCATCTTTGTAAACGATTAGGTCAAACACATACACACGCGCACGCACGCACCAGTGTACCATACAGAGAGGGGACATTCACAGCTGCCATCGCTTCACGCCCCGTCGCGTACCTTCCCTTCGCCGTGGATGTGTGCCGCTAGATGGGCGGAAGTAGAGAGAGAATGTAGGCGACAGGACACAAAACGCGGCGGAATTACACACTGCTGTGACGCCGACAGCGCCGTAATGTACTGGTAAGCGCCAGCGCCGAGAGAGGGGAAGGGGAAGAGACTGGGTGGAGATAGAGGGCACGACAGGAGAAAGCTTGCGCGAGTGGGTAAAGGAGCGAGAGTGGTGTGGAGTACTGTTGCAGAAGGTGAGAGTCATCCGGGAAGGCGTCTTGCCGCACAGCGCAATAAGTGATACCTAGGGGGATAGAGAGCACACTCCGTTTATTTGTTGCACCCGCACGTTGTTAGACCAGCGCCGCATCTCCTGTAGGTCGACAGACCAGTCTTTCGGAATGGAAGGGAGAGGGAGGGTCATTCAGCTTTGAGTGTTGAGTAGGTTTGCCGTACTTGGCCATGTTCATTTCGGCAAGAAGATAGGCTTGAACAGCGACTCTTTCGTCCGACCAGCACCGATTCCGTTCTCTTCCATCAAAGAAGCGTTGTGTGGATCGAACAGCCATGATGTATCCGACGCTTGGTCACACGCTCAGGCAGCACCGATCTCTGTTGTTCTTCGAACCAGCATTTTTGACACCGTGCAGAGCGTGAGAACAAAACTCGAATGCGGTGGCGAGTGCAAGTATTTCATGCGTGCGCAAGAAGCCCCATCCCCCTTGCGTTTTCCAAACCAGCTTTTCACACATCGGCGAAAGCGAGGGAGCGAAGTTGGAACGGCCATGATATGTCCGACACTTGATCGGGCCCCCAAGAAGCGCCAATGTTCCGTACGTTCCACTTATCAGCAATTTTCGTAACTGCGAGAGGCAGAAAACAAAGTTCAAATAGCAATGACGTATCAAACGATATGTCACGCGCGAGAGGAGCACCAGGTCCTGCTCTCGTTTCCTAACCAGCTTCTTTTTTTTTTATATCGGGGAGAGGGAGAGAGCAAATCGAGTAGATGTGATGTTTCCGGCGATGTGTCGTACACGCAAGAAGCACCGACCCCTCTCTCGTTTGCCAAACCTGCTGTTCACAAGTCAAAGAAGGAAAAAGGACAGTTGAAGCAGCCATGATGAATGTGTCCGACGCTTTGTCGCGCGAACGAGTATCACCTTCCTTGGATTGTTCTTGAAACCAGCATTTTTGCAATTGGGGAGGGTATGAAGGCAAACGTGCGAGCAGCCATGATGTTTCGGAGAGTTTGTCGTGCGCGAAAGAAGCACCTATCCTGCTCTCGTTCTTCAAACCACCTTTTTGTGTGCCAGGGAAAGGGAGAGAGCACAGTTGAAACAGCTGTGTCCCACCCTTGGTCGCGCACCCGGAACACACCGATCCCCCTCTCGTTCTACACACCAGCGATTGTCAAACCCGGGAGAAGCCGAAGCCAAAGTTCTAATAGCCATGATGTGTCCGACGATTTGCTACGCTCGCAAAGGGCACCGATCGCGCCCTTATCGCACAAACCAGCATTGTTTGTGGTCGGGGAGGTGCAGAGAGCAACGGTAGAGCACCCATGGCGTGTCTGACACTTGGTCGCGCAAGCAAGGAGCACCGATCCCTCTCTCGTTGTGCAAACCAGCGTTTCATTAGCTAATGAGGGAGAGTGCAAACTTCGGACACCATCACGTATCCCACGCTTCGTCTCGCGTGCAAGGAGGCACCGATGCTCCGTTCGTTCCACAAGCCAGCAGCATTCAAATCTACCAACAGGCAGGAAACAAAGTTCAAGTAGCCATGATGTTTCAAACGGTTTGTATCGCACGCGGGAGCACCGGTCGCGCTTTCGTTCCACCAACAAGCATTTTTTGTAGGCCGGGACAGGGAGAGAGCAGAGTTCGAGCAGCTATGATGTGTCAGACGCTTGGCCGCGCGCGCAAGGAAGCACCGACCCTCCTTCCCCCAACATGTTCTACGGTGATCGCACCACACATGGTATGTCCGACGAGTGGTCGCGCGCGCAAGGAACACCGATCTCGCTCTCGTTTCACAAGCCAGCATTTGTTAGGTCAGGAAGAGCGAGAGAGCAAAGATAGCATACCTATAATGTGTCGCGTGCGCAAGGAGCACCAATCCTCCGTTCGTTGTTCAAACCGCCGTTGTTTCAATCGATGAGTGCGAGAGGGCGAAGTGCGCGCGAATAGATCGGAGCACGCCTCGCCGATTTCCCCCCCCATTTAGATGAGTACCGCAAATGACGGAAGATTCCATACTCCGTGCCGATTATGATTGTGTTCTCGGCGATGGAGGCGATTCCTACGCCGACGGATGGCTCCAATGGAAGCCGTGCTGCAAATTTTTTCGTGCTTGCCCGTGTGGCACTAGATACCACTTACGCAAAAGTTCGGCAAAACCCCCAAAACAAGAAGCAGATCCAGTCTGAGCTACCTCGCGAATCGCCTCCTCCATGATGCCGTGGTCACGTGCGTATTACACCCTCTCGCGTTGTACCTTGTGGTCCTCTTTGAGATGTTATCGCCCGCAACCGCGCCACACTGAGCCGTGTAAAGTGCCTCCATCCTGTTTCGTACCTGCCCTGCCTGGCTGCCTAGCCCAACATCCATGAATCCTGAAAACCTGCGTATTGGACACTTGATCCCCACGTACTGACGCGTGACACTGAGGGATAGCAACGCCGTGTCGGGCTACAGCAGTAGCCACAGCCAGCGTGGTTTCGGCCCAATGTTCGCGGAACACGAGCTTTCTGCTTGATGGATGGCTTGGTCTCGATCTCCTCCACGCGTTGATCGGGCCCCTGTTGTTGTGCTAAGAGGCTTGTGATCTTGTTCCGGTGGCGGCTGCCTGTGCCTTCGCTTGCGCTCTTTGTTAGCACTAGAAGCTGGCACTCTCTCGAGCTCGATATGCTGTTAGAGCCGGCACTGTTGTCACGTACTTGTGCTGGTTGTTGTGCGACTTGTACACACGCTTTCCAACTCCCTACGTTTTTTTGTGGACAATCGCAACAAGATCCTTCTAGACCGGCGCTCTTTTTTCCACACGCCGCTTGAGTACCTCCGACAAAGCCCTGGGATTGAACCCCTTTCTTTCCCTAAGAAGTGGAACACCCCACAAACCCCTGTATCGATGTCGCACAGAGTATGCCCGGTAAACAGCGAAATACCCTAGAAAAGCGCAGAGCACTCCGCCGTGCGACAATCTTCTCTGGGTTCCACCCTGGTACTAGACTCCCGCGTTTTTTCCCGGCAAGTACCCTAGGAAAGCTCCGTCGTGCTTCTCGCTGTACCTGTCGATAAGACGCGGGGCGGGTAAAAGCATCAGCCAACTTCTTTCAAATCCTTGAGTGGCCGCAACACTTGCCCGAAGCATCAAACAACACCACGCACCTAGACATGGCTGCCAAGAGCACACGAGGCTTCGCCGCCCTCCGCTTCAGAAGCGGGAGCATGCGGGCGATCGATGTTAATTCCTTCCGGGACGCACGCCCTACAGAACGACCGGTGTCAATGGGCCACAGCCAAGGGACCGCGTGAACTGCCTCCACCTGCTGCAGCAGGAGGATGACACCCTTCTGCCCCCGCACCTTCTCGCGGTGGACTCGCATTGGACTGAATCTGCGACAAAAGGATGTGGCTAATTCCAGGGGCGTGCCGATGAACCCTTCCTCTTCTTCCCCCTCATCACTGCCGCACGGAAACCGAACGCCCGATGTCGCGTCCGCCCTGGCTTCGAGAAGCAGGCGCGCGAATCTGGGAGTCTGAAAGCTTCCCAGATTGAATGTGCACACGAGTAATGTGTACACGAATTCGTCATAGGTTCCGGCAGACTACCGTGGTCCATATTGACGTAGGCACGCGTACCTGTGTTGGCATTTCCCCCCTGTCTCCCAGCAGAAAGTAGACGCACGCCTCGCTACATCCCTCAACGGCGGCACACAGAACCACGCCCTCCGTATCAACTACACCGGCATCACACAGAAATGCAACGATTTCCACGTAATTGCGAGAAGCGGCCGTTACAAGAGCCAGCGCGCCGCCGTCGCTTGTACAGCGATCGATTCCGTACCAATGCACGAGCTCGCAGACCCCTTCCAGATGTCCGTAGTAGACTGCCATTCCTAGCGGGAGACTTCCGTACGCTGACAAGAGCGGATTCGTGTTCGCCCGAAGGAGAACCCTGACCGCTTCTAGCCGCCCGTCCTTTGCCGCGAAGAACAGAGGTGTTGCTTTGTCGTCGAGCCTGCTGTCCACCTTCCCGCCTGCCTCAATCAACACCACCATTCCTTGGTGAAAACCTTTCGTCGCGGCCACGTGAAGTGGTGTATCTATGCCACCAGGCCTCGCTTCAAGGTCCGCTCCCGCCTCGATCAGGTCTTTGCTCACGCCCAGGTGTTTTGTGATGAACCGCATGGTGCAGAGCAGTATAACCGTCGCCGTCCGCCTCCGAGACGCTGACACCCTGCCGCAGAAGGTCTCGAGCAACGCGCGAGGAACCAATGACGGAGGCCACCATCAGCGGTGTCTGGTTCGTGTCACCACGGCGTCGGTCGATGTCGTTCGTAGCAATGGTAGGATCGGCGGAACCGCTGGCTTCGCTCAGGGTTGATGGCATGTTGGGGAGAGTGCCTGTTGTCTCTTGGTTTAGTTTCTAAAGTTTTCTGTGAACAATGGCAACACTTTGATATCACTTCCTCTTTCTTCTTTTCTTGTTTTAGCTGAAGAAAGAGCCTTTTCGGCAAGCTTCTCGTCGCTTGGTTATTTAGAACGTCTGCCTGGCGCCCGGCCGCCACAGCCGTAGCCTTAGCTGCTTTGGTCCTTTCGAAGCTGCGGCCACAGCAGATGCCTTTTGTACGGGTTGATCTGACTCGTTTCTAGTGGTCTGCGGCCGCGGCAACCTTCTTCTTCTATAACCGTCTGCGCCCGGCAGCTGCACACTCCTTCTCCTTTTGTACTTTTGCCGTGGATTCAACAGCTTGGTTAGCCTTCAGCGTGGCTTTTTCCCTTGTGACTTATGTCAGCGGATTGACTCGCTGCCTCCATTGCCTCCAGCGTTTTAGGGATGTTTTCTTTCAAAAATTGTCAGCATCGTTCCTCGCTTTTTTCTTGTTTTCTTGCGTGTGTTTGCCGGCTTTGTCCGTGTGCTCGAAAAGTAGGCGCATATGTGTTTCTTGTACTCAGCTTTCATCTGCATCGTGATAAAGTTGTTGCCCGCAATTGCGACGAGCTTTTTCCCGACGTTCGTTTTTAACTTCATGTGGTGCAGAGAAGCTGTCGTTTGTGGGTGCGAAGAAAAATGACCCAGGAGTTGGGAGCAAGCCGTTTCTCTTGTCTTTTGTTTGATAGCATTTGGCCGATCCCTGCAGGTCATTTCCTTGATCGCGGTGGTTACACCATGGCAACAAAAACGTCGTGTGAGTTCAACCCCTAAACCGAACCGCAACGATGTGTTTTCGTCAACGCGCCCCGCGTTTTGCGCTTGCGCCTCGTGTCACAGCAGGGCGCATCGCCCCGAGGGCGCAGAAGCAGTACCACCCTTCAGCGATAGTACCAGCAGCAAGCTTTTCAGAGCAGTGCTAAGCAGCAGGAGCAGAAGCACCACCCTGGGGCATCCAGAAGGTGAAAAAATCTGAACCCCCCGCCCTCACGGAACTGAACAGGAGCCGATGGGAGCGCCAACAGCAAGAGCCGGAGCACGAGGTTTATGTATGCGGTGTTTCTGTTTTGGCGATTGCGCGTTTGTTTCTGAGGCGGTTGTGTGGCGTGGCGGAGAAGCCACGCATGTGAGATGACGAAGCAGCTTATAGTAGGCAAAGGCTGAGGAAGTAGGCGGTTGAGGAAGAAGGCGGCTTCCTTATTTTTTGGGCATATCTGAGTCGCTTCATTTTTCGTGTGTGACACGAACGATATTCTCCAAAATCTCTTCCCCCCCTTTATCCGATGATCCCTAAGGTTCGCGCCGGCGTTTGCAGATTTACAGCAGTAGTTGAAGCACCTCGGTGGACCACAAGGCTAATACCCTCATGTGGGTCAAATGTGCTTATCGTATCAGCGTTTGTTTTGGGGCGGGCGCCTTTAGTTTCGTCTTTAAACAGTTTCAAGGGGAGCCGACAGAGCGGGTGTCAAGATCCCAATCGTCGACTTTGTTTTCGGCACGTTTTGTTTCTTCCTGCTCGGGACTGTCCCTCTCGTTGTTTGCCGAAGGTGCAACTCCTCTCAGAATGCGAACCTCTTCTCTCAGTTGTTCTACCTCGGCCCTCAAGCTGTTTGTTGTCAAAAGGCGTTCGTCTACAGCAACCCTCAATAAACTTATAGTCTGCTCGAGGTCGGTCTTGACTGAAGCCATCGGTAGTACGGTATTCTTCCCTGGATTCTTCGCGCACCCGTGTCAACTTGAGAGGAATAGCAGCGATCTCATCCTCCAGACGATATAGCTCAGACCGCATAGAGAGGCCTCTTCAGACTCGCACAATTCGAGGGACTGCCAACATGCCAGTCCTATCTTCGCCTTTTTTCTCGAGATTGGGATATCATTTGACGTATTCGCTTACTGATCCACTCCATGCAAATTGAGCGACATCGGCTCCGTATGATCTAAGCAATTTTTACGTGGTCGGGTGATTCAAATGCTGCTGCATCGGCGCAGTTGTCGTTTCCGGACTCGCACCCTCTTCTAAAATCAGTTCGAGATCCTCCAACTTGCGCAACTAGTCCCCGGGCTTGTACGTCGTTCGTTTTCTTTCTGGCCCCAAGCATCGAGGTTCACGTAACTAGAAGAGAGGGGTGCCCATCTGCTACCGTTTGCAGCCCCGACGACGACGTCGACGAGAGCGGAGACGGCACGATTGCGGTCAAGGTCAAGACTGATGTCAAGACGGAGGCCAAGATGGACGAGATACGGGAGCCAGCGGAGACGCTACAGATGAAGAAAAGGGCGGGGTTGATGTAGATGGAGACGGGGGAAACAGCAGAGGGCGTAGTTCGCCGAATGGATAGTTTGGACTTGGTGGTCAACGAATCCGGCGTGCTCAATTGCGATGCTAAGAGTTTTGAGTTTTGCGCTTGTTGTTGGGGGGGTTCATTATTATTTCTCTCACGGATGCACTTTTTAAATTTTGCGAATTTTACGTGGTTTGAACTAAGTTACGTCTTTCAGAAGTGACGCTCTGATCGTAGCAATATATACGGCGTGCGCACGGTTGTCATTTGTACCTGGAATAAATTGGAATTAGAGCCTATTCCGCACCTCCATAGACTAATGTTTTGATCACTCTCTCTCTTTCAAAGGAAGGGCGGGTGGTGGTGATTTTGATTTTAAACGTGGCACCATTCAAACCGTCTTGCCGAGAGCTCTCTTTGGCATGCCGGCTGTATTCGTCACTGTTCTTTGTGGTAAGGAGAAATCACAATTTGGACACTTGGCCAAGGGGGTGTGGTATCTCACGTCGAATGTGATAACATGACATCGGTTCTTCACGGCGCAGATGCGAGGGTCCCGTATAGTTTCGCTCATCGAACATGTATTCGATCACGTTCAAATACAATCAAAACACAATCTCAGCAGATGCAGCGCATGTTTCCAATTCGGGTCACCTCAAACAGATTCATTCTCAAACAGATCCAGAGGGAGGATCGAACTAGCGGACACCTTGTACAGATTGGTCAGACTAGGCTTAGTCCCTACAAAGCCTCTAAGTAGGGCTCACGGCCTCAATTCATCGAAAATGAGTTCGAGTGTGCCCCGTGGACGGATATCTTGCAAGCCGGGATAACCGTAGGAAGGGTAACCAGAAACGGGTATACCCGGATAGATTATCACCATTTCAGGGTACACTTGGAAATCAAGACGACACCAATCTCCGACAGCAGCCGCCGTAGATCGCGGCGAAACCAATAAACCGCTGTCTGTGTCCTGTGTGTGCTGTGCCTCGGAAGCATGATGCACGAGGCAGGTCATCGTGCCCGTTTTTCTCTCTCTCTGTGCCTCTCTCTCTCTCAGTGCTTTTACTGATAAGTACCACACCGAAGTACTCGCGCGTCAAGCGAGTCCGACCTTCTGTTGAGAAGGGCCGGTATCCTATGGAGGCGGTGCCCATGAACGATGAACGAGCGAGCGTTGGTGGTGGTTTGGTTGTGGTTATTTTTGTATTTTTTATTTTCTCACATCATCGGACTCTGTCGTCTGCCCCTCTGGCCCACTTGTACTAGCTAGACGACCCAACCGGGGTCACATAGGAGGGGGGGGCTGGACCCCCTCCTGCGGTTCCTGCCTGAGGTATTGTTATCGCGAGAAGGGTACAGCGATCCCTTCCCTCGCGACTTACGAAGTCGATAGAATTATGGTTTACTAACAACGAGCTTTGCAGCGCGTCGCTTTCATCCTAGACCAGGGTTTATTTGGTGAGAAAAAAAACTTACTCTCCCGGGGCTCGAACCCATGACCTGACCCTTAGCAGGCTGCGAAGTTACCCACTAGACCACCGGGGCGAGACCGGTGGTTATGTATGTGTGGTACACGGGACGTGCGGCACATGTTTTTTCTGCGGGTTTTATTCTTGAGCGTTGGGCGCCGGGATTATATGACCATGTGATTTCTGGGTACAAAATTGACCTCTTCCGGGTACACCAGTAACCAACCAATGTCGGTCACACCAGAGGCCCCTAATTCCAGCGGAAGTTGTTCCTGATGGAGGTTTCTTCAGGAATGGGTACAATGGTTTTTCGGCCAATCACCTGACAGCCCGGGGATGCAAGCGTGTTGACTTCTAACTGTACCCTAAAGTGGTGATAAAGTACCCGGGTATACCCGTTTCTGGATATTGGTCTAACCGTAGCCCCGCTCAAAAATGCACGGGGCCCCTTTGAGGTTGCACCAGGTTGCACGGTCTCTGTCACGCGCACCTCCTACCGAGAGCGAAGCCGACCCAGGAGAGAGGCATTGCCAAAAAAAGGGACAACAGGATACAGCTCCGACCTTCTGCAAACTGCGAAGGTGAGAGCATGTGGGGAGACGCTACCCCATGCCTTGCAGACATGCGGAGAGATCACGAGTTTGCGAGATGGGATGCGTGCGTCGACCCCGGTGTGCGATGACAACTTGACCTGGTTGCTCATACGTTTTGATGCTTTGTTCCGCACAGCTTTTTGACTTCCGGGGTCGGGTTCGATGTTCTTTCGCTCACCTTGCCGTGATGGTGAGAGTATGTTCCCCGGCCGCAGCGCTTTGGGACATCGGTGCGCGCCGCAGAAACGTGGAGAGACCGATTTAGCGAGATGGAACCCACGCGTCCACCCAGCCAGGAGAAGTTCGGCGTAGTGTGTGACGAGATGTCCTATTTGTTCGAGTCTGTTGCTCTGTTCCACTGCTGTGTTATTTTCCGTGTGTTGAACACATCCTGTAGGTGCCCTCTCTTTCAGGGAAATGTAAGGATGAACAAAACTCGCTGATAGTTCGTGGCGTACGTCAAATGAAACACCCACCCGCGAAAGATGGGCGACATAGAGCGCTCTTCTACCTCTGCCACGTCGACACAATTTCACGTTTGTCCCGCGTACCCTCCGTCCATCATCGTCTGCACCCCTAGGCCCCATCCAATGGCGCAGACGGACCGTGAGGCACTGGGTGCCTTCTACAACGCAACCGGTGGGCCTAACTGGGAGCACAACAATAACTGGAACGCGGATGCCGACCCCTCGGAATGGCTAGGAATCGAAACCAACGACCAGGGCCGTGTTGTGCGTCTATCTCTGGGCTCCAACAACCTGCAAGGTATTTCACGGTTTAGTCTATGAAGGCGTGCTCCTGTCTCGCAATGTGCTTGACCTTCCCCAAGAATTCGTTGACTGAGAGTGGCCCTTTCATGAAATCGCACGTTGAAGTCGATCGAGTTTAGTTACAACGAGCTTTGCAGCGCGTCGCTTCCAACTCAGACCAGGATTTATTTGGTGAGAAAATAATTCAACCTGCCGGGACTCGGACCCAAATCAAAGGCCGGTTTAGTACAGCAGTACCGTACGTTCAGCACAGCATCGAGAATCTGTACTGAGGTTAGTACCAGCAGTGGGAGAGATGCATCCTTTCCTCACCTGAGTACATTATGGAGACCCTGTACTAAACACAACAGTACGATGAGTACAGTATGGAGAATCCGTACTGAGCTTAGTACCAGTACAGCACAAAGAGCCGGACTAAACCCAACATTTCGATTAGTACAGTATCGAGAATCCGTACAGAGGTTAGTACCAGCAGTATGGAGAGCCGTACTAAACCCAATAGCACGATGAGTGTATGGAGAGCCGTACTAAAACCAACAGTACGTTTAGTACAGTATCGAGAGTTCGAACTGAGGTTAGTACCAGTACAGCATATATAGCCGAACTAAACCCAACATTACGATTAGTGCAGTATCGAGAATCCGTACTGAGGTTAGTAGTACCAGCAGTATGGAGAGCCGTACTAAACCCAATAGCACGATGAGTGTATGGAGAGCCGTACTAAAACCAACAGTACGTTTAGTACAGTATCGAGAGTTCGAACTGAGGTTAGTACCAGTACAGCATATATAGCCGAACTAAACCCAACATTACGATTAGTGCAGTATCGAGAATCCGTACTGAGGTTAGTAGTACCAGCAGTATGGAGAGCCGTACTAAACCCAATAGCACGATGAGTGTATGGAGAGCCGTACTAAAACCAACAGTACGTTTAGTACAGTATCGAGAGTTCGAACTGAGGTTAGCACCAGGACAGTATGGAGAGCCGTACTAAACCCAATAGCACGATGAGTGTATGGAGAGCCGTACTAAAACCAACAGTACGTTTAGTACAGTATCGAGAGTTCGAACTGAGGTTAGCACCAGGACAGTATGGAGAGCCGTACTAAATCCAACAGTACGATTAGTACAGTATGGACAGCCGTACTAAACCCCCAGTATCCAAGTACTGAACGGTGGGGCCCTATACTCTTTTCAGAATACTTGAAAGTACTGGTAGTACATACTATGCTAAACCGACCCTTGCACGTTTTACAGCAGTAAGCTATGACGTTTTGATTTTGCTACGTTCCCGCGTTCTGCACGTGGTCTACCCCTGAATATCCCCTGTATGTAAATTGTACACAGCAGTACCGGCACGCTGTGCGTACGATGCTGCTGTACTCATCGAAGTTAATCGACACCTCACGATTTCCCCTGGATGCCTGCTCCTTGAACACGCGCCACCTGTAGACCAAATCAATTTTCTTGGCTTGTAGGCGCTTCTGGTACACGGAGGACCGCCGGTATCGCTTTTTTCACAAGGTTCGGATGCATCTTTTGTCGGACGTTGGAGCGTTCTCGACCACGAAGCCGTTCCGCACCGGCCCGGTCGGTTTCGTAGCTGGTTTCCCTGCAGACATCCGTCCATTCCAAGACATGTGTTCCAAACGAGTCGCGAGGGTTGTGGAGTGTTTGTCGGCAGTTCAATGGAGAGTGACATATCCTCGGAGATGTTGGCTTTTTTTTATCTCGAAGACTTGATGCGAGATTCTAGAATGTTTTGGAAGCGTTAATCCATGCAGTCAGTTCGAAAAAAAATTATGAGCTGGTTGAAGCTGAGCTTCAGCTCCTTGAAAATTACAGATTTCCCAGCTCCGGCGGTATGGGACCTGCAGCGAAGGAGAAAATGTAGGCGAGCGGGGAGAGATCAAAATACCCTGCTTTTAGGACACTCCTTGCTCACCCTACGACATCGGCTGGACTGATTCCCAACATGGGATCGGGAACGAAAACTATAATTGAATCACACACCGTTGAGCTTGTTTCTCTGCCGATAGAGCCACTTTATTGCTGCCAGGTTGCCCAGCTCTGAGGGGATGGAGTCCACAAGCAGAATAAAAGAATAAATAACTTCATACTGGCTTCTAGAGAACACCTACTCACCCTCGCGCGGGATTCACCTTGAACCCAAATCGACGCTTTTTCGGTTCCTCACCTGTGAGCCCGTTTTGTTCGAGCCAAAGCCTTTCCAGCTTACCCAGCGCCCCCAGCTCCTTGGGAATGGGTCCGGTACAAAAGACATGCCAGGGAAAATTAGGTAGAGCAAACGATATCCCGCGAGTTGTGAAATTACGTACTCGCGTACGCGTTGGCGCCCATTCACCCGGTACGCGGGATTCATGCAGGCAGAACTCGCAAGAAAACAAAACTCTTTCCGATCTGTTCAACTCACCATCTAACATGTTGCCGAAGAGGTGGAGGTCCTGGAGGGCGCGAAGCTGTCCGAGCTGAGGCGGGATATGACCTGCACATGAACGATTCAACGCAGGGCAGTTTGGCAGGGTACAGAAAAAGTTATCCCGCGTGTTCTGAAGTTTCGTGGACGCCAACGCGTTGGTGTCCTCTTGAAAATCGAGAGGTGGGATTAGTTGTCTTGTTTTTTGTCGCGCTTTGTTTGTATCGCCCTCTCTTGCTCGCAGGCCCCATCCCGCGGGCGCTCGGGAACCTCGCCGCGCTGAAATACCTCAACCTTCGAAACAACGAGCTAAGCGGTGGGTTATGGAGCGCAACATGATGTTTGGATGATACATTTGCAAATTCGGAGAAGACGAAAGAAAAATCCCCGCGCTTTCCGGACAAAAGTTTCGTGGACGCCAACGCGTTGGCGTCTATATGCGTTGTTACAGAAGTCGAAGGGATTTGAGCTAGACTTGCAAGTTTTAAAAGTTGAAATGAGAACACCGTACATTCCTGTGCCAAAATTGTGACTCACCGCTGAGCTGGTTACTCCAAAGGGTGAGCACCTTTAGTGCCGCAAGGTTCCCCAGCTCGGGTGGAATGGGGCCTACAAGCAAAAGAAAAAGTACAAATTTCGCGGGGGATTATGAATAACTTTCCCGACTTCTAGAAATACCTACTCACCAACACGAAAATGGACGCCAACGCGTATGCGTCCACATATATACGGAGATCAGTTGTCTTTAAGAAAGAAAGGCGGGTTTGATTTCATTCGCTTCTTTATCCCGCTTGATTTGTATCGCCCTCCTGCGTACAGGCCCTATCCCGCCGGAGCTCGGGAACCTCGGAGCATTGAAATGGCTAGACCTTGGTGAGAACCAGCTGAGCGGTGAGTTATGGAGCACAATGTTATTTTTGCATCATCTCCCAGGATGAATCTCGCCGATGTGTATGGACTCGTACGCATACGCGTCCACTCAAGTGGTAGGACCGATATTCTACGAAGCGGGGGGGTTATTTTTTTTTGTCCAGCTCAGTCACTCCGTTCCGCACGTCCTCTTGCAGGCCCCATCCCGTCTGACCTGGGGCACCTTTCCGCACTGAAGGAGCTCTACCTTCAGGCCAACCAGCTCAGCGGTGGGTTCACACGAATTCGATAGCGTTTCCCCGACCGCGAGCTCAGTGCACGAATCTCGCCGATGTACGGGTCCACCCATTTAATTTTCGGCCTTATACATGAGTGGACGCGATGCGCGTTTCTGTGTACGCCTGAATTTTGAAATCTGCGCATTGCTGCCTTTCGCAGGTTCTATACCGAAGGAGTTGGGAGACCTTACGAAGCTGGAGCAGCTTGCTCTGAACAACAACCATCTTACAGGTGAGAAATGACGAAAGTACAAATTCGATTTCCATGAGCTTCAGCATAAACACATGGACGCGTACGGCCTACGCGGGACTCATGCACGTTGCTTCCACCGAGTTCAAATTCTCACCTGAGAGGTTGTCGCTGCCCAGATCTAGCCTCTCTAGCGCAGTAAGCTTCGCTAGCTCTTCCGGTATCGGTCCTGTATGGCAAACAACGAAAATGAAGTAGCAGGGATTGAGTAAAGAATGGCCCGGCCTCTGCACCATGAAGTGGTTTACGCGTACGCGTATGCGGGGTTCATGCAGGCAGAACTCGCAAGAAAACAAAACTCTTTTCGATCTGTTCAACTCACCAACGCGTTGGCAGGACCGCTTTTCTAGACGCCGGGGGATAAATTTTGTTTTCTCCCGCCAACTTATTTTTTATATTCATCTGGCAGGCACCATCCCGGCGGAGCTGGGCAAGCTTGAAGCACTGAAGATGCTCGACCTTGAACACAACAAGCTAAGCGGTAAGAAGCAATTATATCGCAATCTGATTTCTCCTGATGGTCTTGCAAAACTAATTATGAGTCCTGTGTACGCATGGGCGTTGGCGTCCACGGAACTTTTGAACGGAAAGCGCGGGGATTTTTCTTTTGTCTCCTCCGAATTTGCAAGTATCATGCAAACGTCATGTTGCACTCCATAACTCACCGCTTAGCTCGTTGTTTCGAAGGTTGAGGTTTCGCAGCGCTGCGAGGTTCCCGAGCTCCCGCGGGATGGGGCCTTCGAGCAAAAGAGGGCGATACAAACAAAGCGCGACAAAAAAACAAGATTTATTATCCCGCCTCTCGATTTTCAAGAGGACCCCAACGCGTTGGCGTCCACGAAACTTCAGAACTCGCGGGATAACTTTTTCTGTACCCTGCTAAACTGCCCCGCGTTGAATCGTTCACCTGCAGGCCATATCCCGCCTCAGCTCGGACAGCTTGGCGCCCTCCAGTACCTCTCCCTCTCCCTCAACAAGTTAGATGGTGAGTTGAACAGATTGAAAAGAGTTTTGTTTTCTTGCGAATTCTGCCTGCATGAACCCGCGTACGCATCCGCGGCATTCATGCTCAACTTCATGCCTCACCGGATAGCTGGTTGCTCCACAGTCGGAGCTCCACCAGCGCTGTTAGCTTGCCCAGCTCCGGCGGGATAGGCCCTGTAAGCAGACAAGCAAAATAATATGATACTCGTTATTTTATGTTCGATCTCCGTACGTACGCGTCCATGCGTAGGTGAGAAGGTGTGTTCTAGAAAGCGGGGAAATGTATATATATATTGCCCCGCTGAGCTATTATGTTCCCCCTGTCCGCTTTCAGGCCACATCCCACCTGAGCTAGGGGCTCTCAGCGAGCTGCGGGTCCTGTGGCTCAACGGGAACAAGCTCACAGGTACCAATTACATTCGCGATATTTTTGGCGGTTGTTGAAGTTTTGTCATTTGATGATGCTGTGGAACATACGGTGCATGTAGTTGGATGGACGCGTACGCGTACGCGTCCACGAAACTTCAGAACTAGCGGGATAACTTTCATGACGCTAATGACGTAGTAGGGTACGAAATTTCACAGTTTTGGAACTCGCGGGCCATCTAGAACTGTCCTTGCTGATGTTTCTCCCTACTGCATTCTTGTGCAGGACTCATCCCCAAGGAGCTGGGAGAACTTCGTAGGCTGGAGAAGCTTGTGCTCTACAGCAACAATCTCACAGGTGAGACAGTCGAAGAAGAGTTGATTTTTTTTGTTGTTCACGAAACAAGAATCCTGCTGATGCCTATGCATACGCGTCCACTCAAGTAGTAGGACCGATATTCTAGGAAGCGGGGGGGTTATTTTTTTTGTCCCGCTCAGTCACTCCGTTCCGTACGTCCTCTTGCAGGCCCCATCCCATCGGACCTGGGGCACCTTTCCGCACTCAAGGAGCTCTACCTTCAGGCCAACCAGCTGAGCGGTGAGTCCACACAAATTCGATAGCGTTTCCCCGACCGCGAGCTCAGTGCACAAATCTCGCCGATGTACGCGTCCACACAAATAATTTTCGGCCTTATACATGTGTGGACGCATCGGCGAGATTCATCCTGGGACATTTTGCAAAAATAACACTGTACTCCATGACTCACCGCTCAGCTGGTTGCGACTAAGGTCAAGCGCATGAGTGGACACATCGGCGAGATTCATCCTGGGACATTTTGCAAAAATAACACTGCACTCCATGACTCACCGCTCAGCTGGATGCGCCTAAGGTCAAGCGATGTCAATGCTCCAAGGTTCCCGAGCTCCGTCGGGATAGGGCCTGTAAGCAGGAGGGCGATACAAATTAAGCTTGATGAAGAAGCAAATAAAATTTAGCTCGACTCTCTATTTTCAAGACAACCGATCTCCGTCGATCTGTAGACGCGCACGCGTACGCGTCCACGAAACTTCAGAACTAGCGGGATAACTTTCATGACGCCAATGACGTAGGCGGGTACGAAATTTCACAGTTTCGGAACTCGCGGGACATCTTTTTCCACGCACTTTTTTTCTAGACCTGTCCTTACTGATATTTCTCCCTACGACATTCTTGTGCAGGACCCATCCCCGAGGAGCTGGGAGCACTTCTTAGGCTGGAGAAGCTTTGGCTCTACAGCAACAACCTCACAGGTGAGACAATCAAAGAAGAGTTGAATTTTTTCTTGTTCACGAAACAAGAATCCTGCAGACGCGTACGCGTACGCATAGGCGGGATTCAAGCACTCCGGTTGTGACGTGTGCACGCCCAACATATCGGAGACACTTACCGCTGGGTTTGTTTGAGTGGAGGCGGAGCTTTTCCAGCTTGACGAGCTGTCCCAGCGACGCCGGGATTTCGCCTGCATGGTATTTGGTGTGTGGGGGATGGCAAGAGTCGTTTGGTGCGTAGCAAAAGATATCCCGCGAGTTCCCAAATTCCGAAATTTCGTACCCGCCTACCTCGTAGGCGGGATTTCATGCTTCAAACATGAACTGCTGAACAAACTCACCGGTTAGCTGGTTATCCGAGAGGTTGAGTAAAACGAGTGCGGTGAGCTTTTAAAGCTCCGGCGGGATGGAACCTGCAATCGGAAGAGAGAGTAGCGGGAGAAAACAAATTTAAATGCCCTGGCTTTCGAGAACACACGCGTAGCTAAAGATATCCCGCGAGTTCCCAAAGTGCGAAATTTCGTACCCGCCTACTACATCGGCGGGATTCATGCTTGTTCAGAACTCGAAGGAAAAATGAAATGCATTTCGAATTGTTCAACTCACCATCTTACTTGTTGCTGTCGAGGTAGAGGTACTCGAGGGCGCCAAGATTTCCTAGCTGCGGCGGCATATGGCCTGTAGACGAGGGACTCAACGCAGGGGAGTTGGGCACGGTACAGAAAGTTATCCCGCGAGTTCTGATATTTCGTACCTGCCTACTTGTAGGCGAGTACAAAATTTCGTAATCGCGGAACTCGCGGGATATCCTTTGCTACGCATCAAACGACTCTTGCCGTCCCCCCAAATACCAAATACCATGCAGGCGAAATCCCGGCGTCGCTAGGACAGCTGCAATTGTGAAATTTGGTACTCACCGACGAATAAAATAGGTACCTGTGAGCCGGTTGCTGTGAGCAACAGCCTCTGCAGCTGTCGGAGATCCCCTAGCTTTGGCGGGATGTTGTGAAATTTCGTACTGGCCTACGCGTAGCAAAAGATGGTTCGCGAGTTCCGCGATTGTGAGATTTTCGTACTGGCCTACGCGCAGCAAAAGACGTCCCGCGAGTTCCGAAATTGTGAAATTTCGCACTCGCCAACGCACTACGCGGGGTTCATGTACATGTCTGCTGAATTTGAAATCTCACCGGAGAAGTTGTTGTGGTTCAGATAGAGCTAGCTCCCTTTACCGCAATAAGCTCCCCTTGCTCCTCCGGTATCGGTCCTGTACGGCGAGTATCGAAGTAAATTAGCGGGGAATAAGTAAAGCATGCCGGCTTCTAGACCAGTTACTCACCTACTCGCTTTCGCCGTAGGCGAATAGGCCTTTCCATGTTCTGAGAACATGTTTTTTCTTCGGAGTTCCAACGACATGTTGTGCCATGTATATCAATTGAGAGACAGCGCCTCGTTTGTGCCGTTGACCGGTCACGTTCGAATACACTGGAAACACTTTCATCGTATTTGCCCCAACTGCCTGTTCGGTTATCTCATGAAGGTATTCAGAAGGGGTCATGCGCGTTAATCCTGTTTCGTCCTTTCGATCCCGCAACATCACGGTGAATATTTTCCGTCCGATTGGTCCGTTCCACAATCGCCAGTGTTCCCTAGAGCGGTGGCTGAGAGATTTGCAGCCCAAGACATACGCCTCATTACTGAGGACAACCCTTGGATGGAGCCACCAGCGGATGTGCTGAAGATGGGTTTGGCCTATGCGGCCAGCTTCCTCAAGGACCTTGAAGACTTCGGAAGGACATCGTCCAACCGGCTGAAGGTCGTTCAATTCTCATTTTTGGATACGTTCCCATTTTTCCCGCAAGTCTGTTAACCGCCAAAAGTTCAACCATGCCGTGTCTAATAAAGGCCACACTTGATCACTTGATGGCGAGATATAGTAAAGCCTTGGACACTTTCGCCTTTCGCCCCAAACCACTGCCAGTGGGTACTCACACACCTGCTCCACCGTGAACTGACTTCCATGGTTGGGATTACGTCCGGCCTAGCTGAGCTTTCCGGCTGTCCGTGATCGTGTTCACAAGGTATTCGGGTACTGGGTTGTACTGGGGTTGTCGGCGGTGGGCCGTGACCGATCTACATGTGCCCCCTGTTTTCAAGGAGGCTGTCCACCAGCCAAATAAAAAGGGCGGAACTTGCATGCATAGCAGCACGAAATAGCACTGATTCAGATCAGCAGTCCCATCTGGTTAGAGTTCAGAAAGAAGCACATTCACCGTGCTCTAGCCCACCCTAAAGAGAGGATCCACACGACGAGAGCGGTGCCGTAAAAAGAGGGAACGACAGGGTCCAGCTGTTCCCCGCTTACTACCGCGCTTGTGCAAAACTGCAAAGAATAGGTGGGTCTATCCTGTTCCTCTCTCCTCCCTTTCATAGACTGGGTTGTTGATCCCGCTGCAAAGTGTGGCATCGTTAATCATTCGCACATCGCCGAGGTTGTTCGTGCTCGAAGACGTTGTTGTGGTTCTTTGATGCGATCATCCTCTTGTGATGCTGGTGTGAACGCACCACTTCAGTCGCCAAACGACGACCAACAGAAATCGATGGTACGTGTGGTCTTTGAACAAGTGTTTGTCTTTACGAACGTCCCGCAAACTTCCGCGTGCCCAGGCCCCCTACTACACGATGGCGCAGCCGGACCGCAAGGCGCTGGTTGCCCTATACAAGGCGACCGGTGGGGCTAACTGGATTATCAAGCGAAACTGGAACACTCGTGCCGCCCTCTCGCAATGGTTTGGAGTCGAAGTCAACTCCCAGGGCCGCGTGGTGACGTTGTCTCTGGGGCTCAACAAACTCCAAGGTATAATTCTTTGATTTCTTTCTTGCGATCTCTTTGACCTTCCCCAAGAACTCTTTGACCGACAGCAGTGGCCCTTTCATGAAGTCGCAAGTCTTACAACATGCCACAAGGTTGTCTATTTCGTACGTTCCCGTGTTCTGCACACGGCCTACGCCTCAGTACCCCTCGTATGTGAATTCCCCGCAGTATCAGCAGGCTTTGCGTACAAGGCTCACTGTATTCGTCCAAGCTAATCGACACTGCAATGTTTCGCCTCCTAGCTTTTGCTCTTTGGACACGCGCCACCTGTGCAGCACATGACTTTTCCTGGCTTTCAAGTGCCTCTGGTACGCTGGAGACCTTCGGTATCTCTTCTTTTGCAGGGCTCTGATGCGGTGCACGTTATACTCTGGAGCATTCTCCGCGATAAAACCGTTCCGCACGGGCCCCGTAGGCTTGGTGGTTGGTTTCCGTGCTGGCATCCATCCGTTTTTGTTTGTCGCAGCCATTCCTGGGAAAATGTGGCAAATGCCGTGTGGTGTCAAAATACGGGAAGGGTGTATTCCAGACGTTGGCAGGGTCGGCGGGGAATAAACAAAATAACCCGACCGGCTTGTAGAGCATGTACTAGCCTCCGCGACACGTAGCTGGTCGCCTTCAAGGTTGATGATCTGCAGCGCTGCAAGATTTTCCAGCTCCAGCGGGGATGGGGCTTGTAGTCCAAAGGTTCGACAACGTCGTTGCCAAAAGCAATCACCCTTTTCCGTCGAAACGGGCATGACGCCCGCCCACGCGTTGGCGTCCACGCGCGGCAGGATAGTCTGAAATTTGTACCTCATTCTTACCAGATAGTGGATTCCAGCCAAGATAGAGCTGCTCCAGCGCTGCGAGCTTGCCCAGCTCCGGCGGAATAGGACCTGCCGTCGAAAGTTCAGGGGCAGAACAGATTAAGAGCGGGAAGACAATATATAAATATATATATGTGTGTGTATACCTATGTAAGTGGACGCCAACGCGTTGGCAGGACCGCTTTTCTAGACGCCGGGGGATAAATTTTGTTTTCTCACGCCAACTTATTTTTTATATTCATCTGGCAGGCACCATCCCGGCGGAGCTGGGCAAGCTTGAAGCACTGAAGACGCTCTACCTTGAATACAACAAGCTAATCGGTAAGAAGTAATTATATCGCAATCTGATTTCTCCTGATGGTCTTGCACAAAAAATAATGAGTCCTGTGTACGCGTACGCGTCCATGCGTAGGTGAGTAGGTGTGTTCTACAAAGCGGGGAGATTTTTTTTTTTGCCCCCCTCAGCTATTCTGTTCCCCCTGTCCGTTCTCAGGCCACATCCCACCGGGACTAGGGGCTCTCAGCGAGCTGCAGGAGCTGTGGCTCGACAGCAACAAGCTTACAGGTACGAATTACATTTTTCACGATATATTCGGCGGTTGTTATAGTTTTGTCATGTGATGATGCTGTGAAACATGCCGTGCATGTAGTTGGATGGACGCGTATGCGTTGGCGTCCACGCGCGGCCGGATAGTCTGAAATTTGCACCTAATTCTTACCAGATAATTGATTCCAGTCAAGACTGAGGTTCTGAAGCGCTGTGAGCTTGCCCAGCTCCGGCGGAATGGGGTCTGCCGTCGAAAGTTCAGGGGCAGGACAGATTAAGAGCGGGACGACAAAAAAAAAATATATATATATGTATTCCTACGTAAATGGACGCCAACGCGTCCATGGATCTACGGAGATCGAACATAAAATAATGAGTATCATGCTAATTTGTTTGTCTGCTTACAGGGCCTATCCCGCCGGAGCTGGGCAAGCTAACAGCGCTGGTGGAACTCCGACTGTGGAGCAACCAGCTATCCGGTGAGGCATGAAGTTGATCATGAATGCCGCATACGCGTTGGCGTCCTCTTGAAAATCGAGAGGCGGGATAATATGTCTTGTTTTTTTGTCGCGCTTTGTTTGTATCGCCCTCTTGCTCGCAGGCCCCATCCCGCGGGAGCTCGGGAACCTCGCAGCGCTGCACTCCCTCAACCTTGGAAGCAACGAGCTAAGCGGTGAGTTATGGAGCGCAACATGATATTTTCATGATAAATTTGCAAATTCGGAGGAGACAATAGAAAAATCCAAGCGCTTGCCGTACAAAAGTTTCGTGGACGCCGGGATTCAAGCAATCTGGTTGTGACGTGTGCACGCTCAACATATCGGAGACACTTACCGCTGAGTTTGTTTGCGTGGAGGCGGAGCTTTTCCAGCTTGACAAGCTGTCCTAGCGACACCGGGATTTCGCCTACATGGTATTTGGTGTTTGGGGCATGGCAAGAGTCGTTTGGTGCGTAGCAAAAGATATCCCGCGAGTTCCCAAATTGCGAAATTTCGTACCCGCCTACTGGGTAGGCGGGATTCATGCTTCAAACATGAACTGCTGAACAAACTCACCGGTTAGCTGGTTATCCGAGAGGTTGAGTACAACGAGTGCGGCGAGCTTTTAAAGCTCCGGCGGGATGGAACCTGCAATCGGAAGAGAGAGTAGCGGGAGAAAACAAATTGAAATGCCCCGGCTTTCGAGAACACACGCGTGTCAAAAGATATCCCGCGAGTTCCCAAAGTGCGAAAGTTCGTACCCGCCTACTACATCGGCGGGATTCACGCATGTTCAGAACTCGAAGGAAAATGAAATGCATTTCGAATTGTTCAACTCACGATCTCACTTGTTGCTGTCGAGGTAGAGGTACTCGAGGGCACCAAGGTTTCCTAGCTGCGGCGGGATATGGCCTGTAGACGAGGGACTCAACGCAGGGCAGTTGGGCACGGTACAGAAAAGTTATCCCGCGAGTTCTGATATTTCGTACCTGCCTATTAGTAGGCGAGTACAAAATTTCACAATCGCGGAACTCGCGGGATATCCTTTGCTACGCATCAAACGACTCTTGCCATCCCCCCAAATACCAAATACCATGCAGGCGAAATCCCGGCGTCGCTAGGACAGCTGCAATTGTGAAATTTCGTACTCACCGACGAATAAAATAGGTACCTGTGAGCCGGTTGCTGTTGAGCAACAGCCTCTGCAGCTGTCGGAGATCCCCTAGCTCTGGCGGGATGTTGTGAAATTTCGTACTGGCCTACGCATAGCATAAGATGGTTCGCGAGTTCCGCGATTGTGAGATTTTCGTACTCGCCTACGCGCAGCAAAAGACGTCCCGCGAGTTCCGAATTGTGAAATTTCGTACTCGCCAACGCACTACGCGGGGTTCATGTACATGTCTGCCGAATTCGAAATCTCACCGGAGAAGTTGTTGCGGTTCAGATTGAGCTATTATAGCTCCCTTTACCGCAATAAGCTCCCCTGGCTCCTCCGGTATCGGTCCTGTACGGCGAATATCGAAGTAAATTAGCGGGGAATAAGTAAAGCATGCCGGCTTCTAGACCAGCTACTCACCTACTCGCCTTCGCCGTAGGCGAATAGGTGTTTCCATGTTCTGAAAACATGTTTTTTCTTCGGAGTTCCAACGACATGTTGTGCATGTATATCAATTGAGAGACAGCGCCTCGTTTGTGCCGTTGACCGGTCACGTTCGAATAGACACTGGAAACACTTTCATCGTATTTGCCCCAACTGCCTGTTCGGTTATCTCATGAAGGTATTCAGAAGGGGTCATACGCGTTAATCCTGTTTCGTCCTTTCGATCCCGCAACATCATGGTGGGTATTTTCCGTCCAACTGGTCCGTTCCACAATCGCCAGTGTTTCCTTGAGCGGTGGCTGAGAGATTTGCAGCCCGAGATGTAGACGTCTCCACTGGGAACAACCCTTGGACGGAGCCACCAGCGGATGTGCTGCAGGTGGGTTTGGCCTATGCGGCCAGCTTCCTCAAGGACCTTGAAGACTTCGGAAGGACATCGTCCAACCGGCTGAAGGTCGTGCTGGTTGGATTGGGCAACGCAGGCAAGACCAGTGTTGCCGTTCGGCTAGAAGGCCTTGCGCCGTCCAAGCCCCTGCCGAGTGCCAAGGAGCGCACTGTTGGGGTGGAAATACGGGATATACGGCTAGGATCTGGCCCAGCGAATGCACGAAGCGGAGGGAACGCCGAACTAGACGTGAAGCTGTGGGACTTTGCTGGGCAGAGAGCATACTATGACACGCATCAGGTGCGAGATGGGGTTTGGTCAGAATGACGCTTCCAGCGCTACTGGTGAGGGTTCGTTGAAGCAAGAATTGGCGCGTAATATCATTTTCTTGCTTGCAAATGTCGTTGTGGCAAATGCTATCAGCATTCTGTGGCGTCTTCACCCTCATCATATCCGACGGAATTCGTGTTCCTACCTTTTAGAACGCCTGCTCATGGTTTGCCACTCTGACCCTCTCGCCACCCAGATGTTCCTCACTCCGGGCGCCCTCTTCGTCCTAGTTGTGGATATGTTCGCGTACTCGGAGGACGGACATTCTCGAGAGGATGCTCTCGAGCAGTGGCTTGACATCCTTCAAGCCCGAGTCCCCGGTTCGGTGGTCTTACTCATGGGAACTCACAGCGACTCGTTCGACAGTCCAGCCGAGTGCAGCAAGCGGGTGGATTGCTTCGTAAAAGGCGAGTTGTTACCATTGTGTTGATCTCAGGTTGTCGCTGGTGCTTCTGGGCTTCCTTTCTTTCCACCGCCCGCGTTGGTACCCGCTCATGACGGTCGCGGCCAGCCACATCGAAATTTTGGATTCTTCACCTTGTGCACTAAGCATGCCATTGATATCCGGGCAATGTGCCAAATGTTTAGCAGGAGGGTATTGGGCGGCCTTGCGCTGTGACTTTAGCTCTGTCGTGCACCAATATGCAAGAGTACGCTCTTCTTCGCACACGACAGATAAGAATTTCATCATGAAACGGATTGGCGACGAGTGCAAGGCAGCGGCAGATCGGGGGCACGCGGGCGTACAAGACAACCGCCGCTATGAACCTCTTCGCGTGGTGGTGGTGAAGGAGCTGCTTGCCCTCAACCTGTCCCCCTCCGGGGGAGTAACTACCGCGGAGCTCCGAGAGCATATTGAGGGAGTTGCCTACGGCGTTCATGATGGGTACTCGTTCCCTTCAGTGAATAACGAGGTGCCCGAGCCGCACTTGCTCGCCGTGGCAACGCTGGAGGCGGTTCGTCGTGGTGTGAGTCTACGCGGTTCGGGCGGCGAGCCAGCTGAGGTGGCGCGCAGGCTCAACGCCGGGACGAAAGTTGGTGAAGGCCACCCGTTCGTTCTGTTCCCAGAGGCCCTGTCTCGTTTCCTTGAGGTTGCAGGCGAGAAACCCATGTTTGGTGGGAAGGCAACAGAGGGAGCACGTGTTTTCCTGGCGGCCATCAAGCTGCACGAAGTGCAGGGTGCGATTCTCCTGACTCGTGCCGACGGTGGCGGAGAGATGGAGGACATGGCATCTGAAGAGCACCTCGTCATCCACATGAACCCGGCCTGGTTTGCTGATTTAATTCGCCGAATCGTGGACGTTCGGCTGCTCGACCCGGCGCAGGCGCGGCAGGAAAAGGTTGCTGATTTGATCAAGAGACAGCCACCCGCCTCTGTGGGAGACCTGTCGAAACAGCACCACAGGTTCTTTTTGGCCGGGGAGCTGAACAGACGCTACATGAGGTTCCTCTGGAAAGACCGAGACTTGGAGTTGGGACCGGCAAGCCCAAATACGGCGCCGCCTCTCGAAATGTCGGAAGAAGACATCACGACAATAGTGGAGAGTTTACTTGACGTTCGGTTCATGTTTCGAGTGCGACAAAACGAGGACCACTACATTGTCCCGAGCTGCCTTCCTGACCACGTCGGATGCGATATGGATCCCAAGAAACTGATGGAGTTGGAAGTGGGCGGTGCGATTTTTTCTAGACGGCTCGAGTTTGTTGGAGCGCACTCCGTGCCCCCCGGGCTCATCCCGAGGTTGCTCGCTTGGTGTGGCCAGGGAGACGAGCGCATCACGGCGTGCTGGAAGCGAGGGGTTTGTTTCTCCTTCAAGGAACACTTGGTACTGCTCTATGAGCATCGAGATGCTGGCCGCGCGGTGATTGAGTGCCACGCCATGGGAAGTGCGCACGACGAGAAGGCATGGCGCACGTTGGAAGATGTGGTCACAGAGCTTGGTCAGCTTGTGGGCGATGCCAAGTACGGATTCCCGGGCGTCGGACTATTTTTCGTCGGGGGGGGGGATAAGCAGAAGGTCAGCTCAGCTGAAACACTCGAGGGCTTGCTCACGCGCTTCACCGGCGAGCTGAAGGAACAAATTAATGTCAAGGTCGAAGAGCTTGGGCAGAAGCTGGACGACATCGCAGGTGAAGGTAGCGTCGATTTCATAGGCGCGACGATGGTGTGATTCTTGTGGCTTGTTCCCCGAACGCTATCGACCATGGGACATATTCGTTCGTCGGACGTTCCGTCAGCTCCAGCCGAGCTAGTTTTTCTTTTTCCAAATTTTATCGGAGGCCATGAACAGCATGGTCGAACCTGGTGAATACATATATGTGTATGCAGATGTGTCCTCTCACCTTGTTCATAACTTCGGACTTGTCCCACTGCTTAGGGGGCGTTGAAAAGCACTTGCGGAAAGGACAGGAGGAGATGGCAAGTCTACGGGAGGATGTGTCACTTCAACTCGACTGTATTGCCGCTGTCACGAGCGAGTGCCTGCTGGTGTCTGCCGAGAAAGACATCCCATGCCCCCGCCTCATCATGGTATCGGAGGATGATGTGCCTGAATCTGACCAGTCACGGCTGTCTCATTTTCGCCGGGAGATGATGGACCAGTTGTTCCTCGGGAAAGGGCAAACGCCTCAGCACTATCGCATTCGCTTTTTGTGTGCGTACGACTTGAGCGCGGCCACCTGCGGAGAGGATGGCCTCGGATACAAGGTTGAGATCGGGAGCTGGAAAGGGTGGCTACAAAAGTACATGCCGGTCATCCAAGTGAGTTGTATGTTTAGGTATTTTGTCACCTCCCCAGCCGAATGGAGCAAATTCCTTTGCAACTAGTACGTCATGGCTTGCTCCTTCGCAAAATACGCCGAATGTTCTTCTGTACGTGCACAGGTGGCTCTGTGGACTGTTCGTGTGGGTGTCTCTGTCGTTTCTCGCGCGGACATCTTGCCAGTAGACGACGTAATGGGGAAACTCAGGGAGGTTGCTGGAGAGGAGGCGGCGACAATGATCGGGGAGATAGACGTCCGAGGCCACTGCTCCCTTAGCGGCCAGGATCTTGTACAGGAGGTGGACCGCAAAGCCGAGGTGTTCGGTAGTGCCTTCAACAAGCTTGCCGATTGGGTAATGGGGAAGGAGAAAGAAATCAGCGCCGTCACTGGCGAAATTCGTGAACCCCAGATCAACGCCACTGGTCAAGTTGTGGGGGCTAGTGCACAAACTGCAGGCAATGCCGTTGGTGAGGGTGCGGAAGACGGGGGGCGATGCTGCTGGTGGTTGTGCAGTTGGTGGCGTCGCTCTCACAACAGCACACCCGCTCCGACTGGCGCAGGGGGCGGAACGGCGCCTAGGGGCTGTGCGACGTCCGGGAATGTCACCGGCAGGGTTCCAGCTGCTCCTGTAGCAACCGTGTCCACCGAAGCTTTGGCCGGCCATTTAAGCTTCGAAAGGGACATGGTCCTTACGTCTCGTCAGAGAGGCACCGAAGCGCGAGAATGGGCGTGGGTGCGTCGTGTCAACAAAAACAAATGGCAGAAGTTTCAGAGTCCCCTCCCTGCCACTGCTGTATCGCCCTAGGTGAAAGGGCACGCATGATGACGGTGCAAGTGTGGTTTCGGCGGATTGGGGGAATCCCATTGTCGGATGATAAAAGGTATTCGTTGCCGAAGGGCGCTATCAGCACCTGCGGGGATAGGTAAATCCGCTTGTAAGTATGAGAGAAGGAATCGTGCGGCGATTGATGGAGCCCTCACGGTGCTGTATCCTTTTTGTTCAAGGTGTAGGCACGACTGTCATTTGATCTATGATCTCTTCGTTGTGGCGTGTGCGAGAGACATGGCAAAGGACCGGGGAACGGGGAAACTGCCTCGAGAGCATCTCAAGTGTTTCTGATTCTATCCGGTTCTTCAGTGAAAATTTGTGCCCCTAGACTTCAACTGTTCGCTTGGTGCCCATTTTGTTGGTCTTCAAGTCGGAGCGAGGGGGGCCCTCTTCCTCTGTTCAAACTCCTGTATACATAAGGCAGCCCTGTTTCCTAGGTGTTTCGGGTAGGGGGTATTCGGGCGGTGCCGATGGGAGCGGTTGCAATCATTCCGAGCTCAATCCGACATCATGGACAAAAAGGTACCGCTGTTTTGTTTTTTGCTATCACTCCGCAACCTTCACTGTAACAGTCGACTCGTAAACTTCCGTTTTGGTCGTATTCGGCAGCACATACATGCGGTCGCCCCGGTGGTCTAGTGGGTAGCCTCGCAGCCTGCGAAGGGCCAGGTCATGGGTTCGAGTCCCGACAGAGAGTTTTTTCTCGCTCATTAGACTAAATCCTGGTCTCCGTTGGAAGCAACGCATTGCAAAGTTCGTTGCTAGTGAACTTGGTCGACTTCATAAGTCGCGAGGGAAGGGATTGCTGTACCCTTCTCGCGATAAAAATATCTCAGGCAGGAACCGCAGGAGGGGGTCCAACCCCCCCTCATGTGTGACCCCGGTTGGGTCGTCTAGCTGGTAGAAGTGGAGGATAAGGGCCAGAGGGGCAGACGACAGAGTCCAATGATGGGAGAAAAACAACAACAAACATGCTACACAAGAGCTTCATCTAAGCCCCTCGCATGCACTCTTAGTCTCTCTGAGGACGCCAACCACGATCTTCTCCGGACGTTAACTCAGCAATAATATGCTGCTCATAAAAGATCCTTTGCTCGCGAAAGTTTGAGACTGCTTCCTCATCCAGAGCATTGATGTTTTTGCCCAGCATGGAGCCAAACTCTCCGCCTGGCCTCGAACTCGTGACCCAAAATGCGGTGGCACGAGGCGCCACGGCGAAAATTTGCCAGGCACAGAAAAAACACGCTCCAGTAGCTCGGTACAGCGACCTAGGCCTACCCACTGCACCACAACCTATTTTGGGGTGTTGGGTTTGAGTTAGGGGTGGGTTAGGCCTAGTGAGGCCTAGCGCCTTGGTGCTGCCTGAGGACTGGAAACCCGCTGTGGCTTTGGTTTCGTGTCTACCTCCAACCACAACCCCAAAATTGTTGAACTGGCGAGGGCAAGAATCTCGCCAGCGCTGATGGCGTATATACGCCTTGCGGGCACGAGGCACGGATTCGGCGTATGCTTGCTTCTTTCGGGTTCACCGAGAAATTATGGTGCCGAAATCCGAAGGTGGCGTGATCTTGCAGCCCGTCTTGTCACTGACTACTTCGGCGGGCCAGCCATGCGTGCGAGCGCGCCTAAGCGTGAAGAAATCGCTGCCTTGGAAAAGCGCGTCCCTCCTCCGTGCAGGCAAAACAGAATGTTGTTCAGCAATACTGAGGGATATACTACAAGGTAAATAAAGCAGGAATGATCGCCCCGAAGGCCCGAAGGGTTTGAAGCAAGAGAAGTGTCGTGGAAAACGCGCAGCGCAACAAAGTTAGCCTGCGACCACGGGAATCGACCGCGTCGAGTGTTGGATCAGTACGGACATACGAAGGTACTGGGTAGAGAGAGATCGGAACGGTTTTTAATGGGAAGACCACAACAACAACAACCCACAAATGATGTAGATGCATGAAATGATCACTCTGTCTTTACTTTATGGTCCGCTCTGCCTACAAATTAATGGGAAAGGTAGCAATAATACCTTCTGCCGACACACGGGCGAGAGAGGCGACCGTACCCACTGCATTTAACACACACCCACATGTCAGTGATGAAACCCCAACCACACGCCTCTATCGGCGGCCACGTCAGGAGGCAATGGTGAGAAAATGTTCTCCCGTGCCCTTCTCACATTTAACGACATGCCATTACACAACAAGGAGAATATGTTCTCCCGCGCCGCACATGCCCCCATACGTCACACACAAAAAATAAGTTGATGACGAAAATATAAACACCCCGAGACGCGCTTGCTCCGCAAACACATAAGGGTGCCACAATGGAACACCGGACAAACCGAGTTCCCCTACTACTACATCTTCCGTCTACAACTTCCCAACATAACATACACACAGATACACAAGATGGCTACCAAACTATGTCTTGTTGAGCCTTACCCACAGGGGAGATATCGTTGTATGCTGTCTGGAAAACCGTAGACATAGATCTATAGCCTTTCGCTCACGCTATGGATTCATTGCTAATCTATCTTACACTTATTTCTTTAGAAAGAGATGGATTTGTTGTGTGATATTAAGGGGGGTGGGCACCCTATAGATCTAGGTTAAGGGTTAAGGGGGCCGTGAACCGTAACAAAAAAAAACATGTAACCGGCGGTTCTCCGCGTTTTTGGGAGGGGGGACACGGGGGGCTGCGCTAAAACCAAGTCAAAGGTTGGCCATTTCAACCCTCCAGAACAGGCGCCGTGCACATTCACACGCCACCGTACAAGCTCTACAGGCCAGATCATGGCAGAAACTACTAGCCCCGTGTCAAAGCGTGCCCGTAAATCGCCCCTGGGGCACGAAAACGGGCGCCAGGAAGAAGGTCCGCAGCCGTCTGCTCCAGCTGCTGATACAACCCAGCAACTGGACCACGGCAGCGAACATGACACCACCTCGAAGGCAGCCACACGCGGAAAGCAGCCCTCCATGACCGCGCCATCTCGCGGCGCTGTGGCGGAGGGCGAAGATGACCCTCTTTTCGACGCTCTAGTGGACGCAGGAGAGCTTTGCCCGGGTCTGGTCAGGGTTGAGCCTCCCNTTTAGAAAGAGATGGATTTGTTGTGTGATATTAAGGGGGGTGGGCACCCTATAGATCTAGGTTAAGGGTTAAGGGGGCCGTGAACCGTAACAAAAAAAAACATGTAACCGGCGGTTCTCCGCGTTTTTGGGAGGGGGGACACGGGGGGCTGCGCTAAAACCAAGTCAAAGGTTGGCCATTTCAACCCTCCAGAACAGGCGCCGTGCACATTCACACGCCACCGTACAAGCTCTACAGGCCAGATCATGGCAGAAACTACTAGCCCCGTGTCAAAGCGTGCCCGTAAATCGCCCCTGGGGCACGAAAACGGGCGCCAGGAAGAAGGTCCGCAGCCGTCTGCTCCAGGTGCTGATACAACCCAGCAACTGGACCACGGCAGCGAACATGGCACCACCTCGAAGGCAGCCACACGCGGAAAGCAGCCCTCCATGACCGCGCCATCTCGCGGCGCTGTGGCGGAGGGCGAAGATGACCCTCTTTTCGACGCTCTAGTGGACGCAGGAGAGCTTTGCCCGGGTCTGGTCAGGGTTGAGCCTCCCAGCCTGAGCAGCGAGGACACAGCAGTCGCGATTCTACAGCATGCAAGGCTTCACCCGGAGACCATCCGCAGCTTCATCCAGAAGAATGCGGAGGAGCTGGCGGAGGGAGTCTTTGATCACAATAAGCCGCCCGTCAGCTGGCAGGAAGACCCGTCAACTACCACCTCCTGCGGGCTGCACCAGTCTGCTGTTTTGACCGCTGTTCGGCTGCAGGTGTGGGCATGATCGGCGGGGTAGAGTAGAGCATGTTCCGAGCATGTATGACTGGGGTTTGTGTGGGATGGGATTCAGCTAGGCGAGGATTGGGTGACGGTGGCGTCATATATTGCGAGTCTTAGGCAGCACCTCGGCCGCACCGTAGACTGCTGTTTGGCTGTTGTGCGTTTTCGTGGCGAGAGCGCAAAAAAAAAAAAGGCCCGATGATCACGTTGAATAACACCCCCCGTGTCCTCCCCGCCTTTTTTTTTTCTTCTTCGGGTCTACTAATCTAGTTACATTGGTAGAGGAGACCGCCGCACTCGCCACCCTCAACCGCTCCTATTTCACGCATTCGCATAATCTCAAAAGCGAAGTGCTACATATATGCTTGGACACGTTTTCATTTCTCTCTGTGGCTTTCGAAGCTAGAACAGCAGTAGGAGCACGAGCATCGCTGTTCGTTTTATTTTAGTGGTTCTGCGCGTGAAAGTACGCACAATCAAGAAGTGTCGTTTTCCTGAGCGTCCTCCGCACGGGGCGACACAAACCGGCGGACGACAAGAACCGCCGTTTGTGGGGTAAAATTGTTGATGGGAGAGATGGCAGTGATCAAGCACATAGAATGTGTCACCGCCTCACCACAACGACCGTCCCCTGCGTCACGCCCCGCCAACAGGATGTCTTCACCAGGTACAAGGATGACCCAGGGTACTGCGTGGCGAAAAGGGTCAGGAACCAGGTGTACTACGACACCGCCAAAGACCTTGGATGCTTCGGAAGCGTTAACCAGTTGAAAGCGGGGGAGGGCATGCGCGCGGCTACCAAGGTCTTCGCTGGCGATGGTAACGACGGACTNGTCAACAGGATGTCTGCACCAGGTACAAGGATGACCCAGGGTACTGCGTGGCGAAAAGGGTCAGGAACCAGGTGTACTACGACACCGCCAAAGACCTTGGATGCTTCGGAAGCGTTAACCAGTTGAAAGCGGGGGAGGGCATGCGCGCGGCTACCAAGGTCTTCGCTGGCGATGGTAACGACGGACTCCCGACCGAAGTAGTCAAGGCCATGCTGCAGTACTGAACAGTGTGCTCGCGACGGATGCAGCGGTGCGCGCACCAGTTTCCGTTCTTTGTGCCTACCCTAGGGAGGGAGGGGGGCTTGGGGATATTTAAATGCGCGAGTGCGCCCAGGAAAGGAGCGGCGGGGAGGGGGGTCTGCTGGTGGTTCTATCTTCGGCTCTCGCGTTTCTATTTTTCTTTTTTTTGTTCGTGTGTTGCTGTCCTTCCTGTCGCGTGAAGATTCTTGGACCGTTGGGGCGTGGGGCACGTGGGCGCCGTGCGTTTCGCGGCTCCCGTAATGTCGACGTTTCTGTGCGGATGAAGGGATACTTTTTTGGGGGCAGTGGGTCTGTTTTTTTTTCGTCGGATAGACATTCCATCGTCGTAATGCCCGCGTTTCCATCGGGGTATGTATTGGGTGCCATTCAATACAAGGGCAGGATTTCATGCGACCCCAGTTTGTCCCTTGCGTCCCACGAAGGGCTGTGTACTGTGTGACCATCTGTCCTTCAACGGTGATAATGAAGTACCGATTATCCAAGGGAAAACGGGAAGAAGTTAGCCTGCTGTCGTGTGTTGTACTCCTCGGGGAGGCCGCACGCCGTGGGCCGCCGCCGTGCGAGCATTGCTCCTATTTTTTTTTTTTTAATAATTTCTTCATATTCTTTTTGCTATTACTCCATAAAAACCCTGTGTACCACGACGTGCCAATTCCGATGCACACGTACAATGGAAAAAACCACACAACATCAGCTCAACATCAGCTGCCCGGAGTGTGCAAACGAAAAATCCCTCCGAAAAATCCCTCCGGTTGGGTACCCGTCCGGAAGAAAAGAAGAAAATACACATTCCTTTTTACTGTCGGCATCATCTTCACCGGCATCGTGCTCGCTCGAATTTTCGTCGCTGGCACTGCCGTCTTCGCTCGTACTGCCATCGCTGGTTGTCGAGGTGTGACCACCCTCTTCGCGAATTTTTTTCTGGATCGCAAGGCAGATTTTGGGACCCTTTCGCTGAACCAGGTGTACTACGACACCGCCAAAGACCTTGGATGCTTCGGAAGGGGTAACAAGTTGAAAGCGGGGGAGTGCATGTGCGCGGCTACCAAGGTCTTCGCTGGCGATGGTAACGACGGACTCCCGACGGGAGTAGTCAAGGCCATGCTGCAGTACTGAACAGTGTGCTCGCGACGGATGCAGCGGTGCTCGCACCAGTTTTCCGTTCTTTGTCCCNAAGCGAAGTGCTACATATATGCTTGGACACGTTTTCATTTCCCTCTGTGGCTTTCGAAGCTAGAACAGCAGTAGGAGCACGAGCATCGCTGTTCGTTTTATTTTAGTGGTTCTGCACGTGAAAGTACGCACGATCAAGAAGTGTCGTTTTCCTGAGCGTCCTCCGCACGGGGCGACACAAACCGGCGGACGACAAGAACCGCCGTTTGTGGGGTAAAATTGTTGATGGGGAGATGGCAGTGATCAAGCACATAGAATGTGTCACCGCCTCACCACAACGACCGTCCCCTGCGTCACGCCCCGCCAACAGGATGTCTTCACCAGGTACAAGGATGACCCAGGGTACTGCGTGGCGAAAAGGGTCAGGAACCAGGTGCACTACGACACCGCCAAAGACCTTGCTTGGATGCTTCGGAAGGGGTAACCAGTTGAAAGCGGGGGAGTGCATGCGCGCGGCTACCAAGGTCTTCGCTGGCGATGGTAACGACGGACTCCCGACGGGAGTAGTCAAGGCCATGCTGCAGTACTGAACAGTGTGCTCGCGACGGATGCAGCGGTGCTCGCACCAGTTTTCCGTTCTTTGTCCCTACCCTAGGGAGGGAGGGGGGCTTGGGGATATTTAAATGCGCGAGTGGAGTGCGCCCAGGAAAGGAGCGGCGGGGAGGGGGGTCTGCTAGTGGTTCTATCTTCGGCTCTCGCGTGTTTTCTTTTTTTTTTCTTTTTTTGTTCGTGTGTTGCTGTCCTTCCTGTCGCGTGAGAACTCTTGGACCGTTGGGGCGTGGGGCACGTGGGCGCCGTGCGTTTCGCGGCTCCCGTTATGTCGACGTTGTTGTGCGGATGAAGGGTTACTTTTTGGGGGCAGTGGGTCTGGTTTTTTTATCGTCGGATAGACATTCCATCGTCGTAATGCCCGCGTTTCCATCGGGGTATGTATGGGGTGCCATTCAATACAAGGGCAGGATTTCATGCGACCCCAGTTTGTCCCTTGCGCCCCACAAAGGGTTGTGCACTGTGTGACCATCTGTCCTTCAACGGTGATAATGAAGTAACGATTATCAAAGGGAAAACGGGATGAAGTTAGCCTGCTGTCGTGT